TCCACTGGCAGAATCTTGTCCTATTGACCCAAAGAACCTCAATTTCAAAGCTATTAAAACCTCATTTTCCATAGCGGGCTCCTGAGACAGGTGCTAACTTTTCACAGAATAATTCGTTCTTTCCTGTGGACAAAAATAAAAGAGTGGAAGATGAAAATATGGGTGCAAAAGCAAGCACGGGACACAGCAACGCAGCCCAGCAGCAGCATCTGTGTGCACACTGCTGATATCCCTGTGGTTCTGTCCTTCCAGCACAGGAGCAGGACTCTCCTCAGGCCAAGCACAGCCCAGTGCCACGGGAAGCAGGAGGTGTTTGCAGAAGACATCTGCCATTTGCTGATAAAGCACTGGGAGATGCCATGCTGGGCTCTGCTCCATGTTTGGACCCACAGCAGCTGCAGGATGGGGTGGGTTTCTGTGAGCTTTTCTCACAGCACAAAGCAGAGACCTTCGGTTCCTTTCCATCCTCACTCACAGCCAACCCCAAAGCCTTACATGCCCAACATCCCATGCTGATGCAATGGTTGCTTAGTTCACCTCCAGGATCTCTGATCTGATTTTTGGGTGGTGCCAGCAGTTGGATTTGAAGATCCTTCCATCTCAAGATGTCCTGTGGCTCAGTGGCTCTATGGCTGGGGAGCTGCAGGTGCCAGCTGAGCCAACCCCACCGAGCTGTTGGTCCTTTTCCAAAACGCACTGAAAAGGCTGCAAAGATTAAGGCTCACACTGAAAGAATGAGGCTCACACTGAATTTCAGCATCTGGAGGAAGGGAACAAAGCAACATTTCTAACAGGAAACACATTTTTCCAATTCATCTTGAGACAGCCCATTTTGGAGGCTAACACCAGGCTGCACTCACTAATTTCATTAACCAGCAAAGCATACAAGGAAGGGCACAGTGAATGAAAATATGCTGTTTTCTGGGGCTGGCATCTCATTTTGAGATCCTGACTGGCAGTGGGGAAGGGCTGCACGTGGCCATAGAGCAGCACAGGGCCAACCAGGCACTGCCACTGCATATTCTCAGTCATGGCAATGCTTTGTTGGATAAGTGCTGCTTAAACCTTACTGATAGAGTATCTGGAGTGGCATTTTAAAAGAGAAAATTGAGACAAGATTCATTACAGACAGCAGTAAATGTCAAACATTTTATCAACTGTGTAAAGTGCCATGTTAAGCTGTCTTTCCCCCCCCCCCCCAAAGCTTGATTAAAACCATAAATGCCTTTTTGATATTAATGTTATTCTCTGCTGTTTGCCACGTGTTTGGTTCCTCGTGGCAGCACTCAGCTCGAGGCTGGCAGAGCAGCTCAGCGCATGGAGCAGGGCTGGGTTCTGCTCTGCACAGGGAGAGGAAAGGTTTGCTCACCAGGAAACCCCAGTCCTGCATGGGGACGAGGCTCTGAGGGTCATCCCAAGGCAGGTTTTGCTCCTGCCGTGCTCTGCTTCAGCCCCAGCCCTGCTTGGAAGCTCTACTACACACATTTCTGTTTTGCAAAAGGAGTTTTTCTGCAGCAGGTCCTCCTTGCTAAGCTGCATTTAATTAAAAGCTAGCTTTTTGTTTCATGTACTAATTAGCAGCCTTTGTTTGCCGCCTCGGAGTCAATCAATATCTAAATCCATGGTCTAAATCCAGCACCATAACAGCCGTATGGAGGATTTCAAAGAATCCCAGAGTTGTTGCTGTTGTCATCTCCTGCGTGACTGCAGCCAGCAGCACAGAGATGGCCCGTGGGGAAACAAAGAGCTCTCAAATTTCCCCAAAGACTCCAAGCTTGCAGTAAACGTACACTTTCACATAGATTTCCTTCTGAAATTTTATGTATTTCAAATGGTAGCACACCTCAGGAAGAGCCACCTGCAGCACCTGCTGGGCAGTGCTTGTTCCCCCTGCACACCTCTCTGTGCCTCGACTGCTTTCTTCTCACTGACACGGGCAGAACCCGCTTTTCCAACAAGTCATTCATTAGGAAAATTATATCTGCTATAGATGCATCTGATCCTCTTAAAGGGTGCCATTTCTGATAGCATAACGAGCTCATGAAAAATACATAACCCAGAGTGGCTCTGGAATATTTATTTATCCAACAAGCCTCACTCATAGCATCAAACCCCCAGCGAGGGTTGTGCCACTTCATCTGGGATGCTCAGTGCTGGTGTGTGACCAGAGCACAAAGCCCACAGGTGGGCAGGGGCTGCTCCTGCTGCTGCCATTGGCTGTGTCCACCCTCGTGGACATCATCAACCCCAAACTGGGATCCTTTCAGCTGATGACATCAATAATGATGCTGTTGCTTTGATAAAACTGCTTTTCCATTAATAGCAGCACCGTTCTTTTTAATGGATGCATTGACACAAGAAGTTACACTGGGCTGTGGCATAGCAACAAAGCTATAAATTAATTTCATAGGGACCAATAGGTAAAATAAATGGTAGGAAATGAATTAACTGTGAGGATTCATGCTGTTAGGAAGCAGATGGGGTGCTCTCCCTTGCTGGTATTTTCAAATGACTTCATCCCTGCTGCATCCGTGCAGGATGATGCCTTGCTCAGCCACAGCATAGATCCACTTACACCCTGCCATTGTTGTAAATTGATCTTATGAATTCATGCTATTGAGCTCAGTCTACAAACTTACCAAAAGCAGCACGGTTACCTAATAGATACAGAATCACATAGTCATGGAGTCACTGAGGTTGGAAGAGACCTCTAAGATCATCCAGCCCAACCATAAACCTACCACCAATAACCCCCACTAAACCACATCCCTTTGTACAACATCCAAATGTTTCCTGAATGCAGGCTGTGCCAGTGCCCAGCCACTCTTTTGGAGAATAAATGTTTCCTCATCTCCAGCATGATATCTCCAACTGATGCTTACACCATACACCGTATAAATGCCATAGAGCAGAGTCACTTAACAGAAGTCAGACAAACTAGACTGGAAAATGAACAAGCAGAAGCTGAGTGAGCGTTTGTGGTACTACAGGGATTGCTCAGTTGTGATAAGGTGGATGTTTACTGATACCAGTGATGTGTGCTCCATGAGTAGTGCATGGCTCAGCCTTCACAACATAGAATCATAGAAGGTTGGAAGCAACCTATAAGATCATCCAGTCCAACCATCTTCTCATTACCACTGCTACCACAAGCACTAAACCAGATCTTGCAGCTCCTCATCCAGACGCCTCTTGAACACTGCCAGGGACAGTGACTTCACCACCTCTCTGGGCAGTGATGCTGGTGGGGATGTGGCACAGTGGGTCCCAGCTGCAGACACCCAACCGAGCGCTTCCCATCCCTCCAGCAATGCCACCACAGCTCTGTGTTGGCAGCAGTGCCCGGCTCACTGTGCAGCTCTGATCCGTGTCACCCCACGGGGCAGGAGCCTGAAACAGATCTGCAGTGCCTTCATTGTGCAGTAACCCAGCTGGGCGCTCCTCATACCCCCTTGGCACGCAGCAGTCCCCCAAGGATGCCATTGGCTCTTTTGGCCACCTGGGCACACTGTTGGCTCATATTCAGCCGAGCATCAACCAACACCCCCAGGTCCCTTTCCTCTTCATAATCATCCAGCCACTCATCTCCAAGCCTATAACACTACATGGGGTTGTTGTGCCCAAAGTGCAGGACCTGGCACTTGGCCTTGTTGAATCTCATTCCATTGACCCCAGCCCAGCGATCCAGCTTATCTAAGTCCCTCTGAAGGGCCTCCCTACCCTCAGGCAGATCAACACCACCTCCCAGCTTGGTGTCATCTGCAAACTTACTGAGGGTGCACTCAATCCCCTCATCTAGGTCATCGATAAAGATATTAAACAAGATAGGGGTCAGTGCTGGGGCCTGGGGCACACCACTCGTAACCAGTCGCCAGCTGGACTTCACTCCATTGACCACCACCCGTTGGGCACGGCCATCTAGCTGTTCCTTCCCCAAAGCAGTGTGTACCTGTCCAGGCCACGGGCAGCCAGTTTCCCCAGAAGCAGCCTGTGAGAGACAATTCAAAGGCTTTGCTGAAGTCCAGGTAGACTACATCAACAGCCCTTCCCTCATCTAACAGTCTGGTCACCCAGTCATAGAAGGAGATGAGGTTGGTCAAGCACCACCTGCCTTTCATGAACCCATACTGGCTGTGCCTGATCCCCTGGGCACCAAACACATGCCGTGTGATCTCACCCAGGATGATTTGCTCCATTACTTTCCCCCGTATTGAGGTCAGGCTGACAGGCCTATAGTTCCCCAGATCCTCCTTACGGCCCTTCTTGAAGATGGGATTCTGAGCATCCCAGACTTGCAGATCAGGGAGTAAAATGCCCAAAGGATAACGGGTCTGTTATTAAAGACAGATGTAAAGAAGGCATTGAGGACCTCAGCCTTCTCCTTGTCCTCAGTGGCCACATTCCCTGCTGCACCAAGGATGAAAGTTATCCTTGGTTCTTCTTTTGCTGTTGATATATTTATAAAAGGATTTTTTTAATTGTCTTTTACTGCAGTGGCCAATCTGAGTTCAAGTTGGGCTTTTGCCTTCCTAGCTTCCTCCCTGCATACCTTAGAACTTCCTTGTAATTCCCCCAAGCAGCCTGTCCCTTCTTCCAGGGACACAGACTCTCTTTTTCTCCCGGAGTCTCAAAGTAGTTCCCAGCTCATCCACACCAGCTGTCTTCCCCTACGGCTCACCTTACAGCACTCAGGGACAGCCTGTTCTTGCCTTTAGGATTTCCATCTTGAGGAGCATCCAGGCTTCCTGGACCCATTTACCCTTGAGAAGCGACTCCCAAGGGACCCGAGCTACCAGCACCCTGAACAGATCAGAGCCCACCTTCTGGAAGTTCAAGAAAGTAGTTTTGCTGCTGCTCACACTCAGCCAACATGGGTCACCCCAATCCCAGTGCTTTGGTGGCTCTGCTGATGGGCAGCGTAACACTCTGCAGCACTGAGTTATCAGAGCTAACTGCTAGGTTTAAACCTCCCAGCACCACTAAAGTGGATTAGAGTCAGCTATTTAATTATCTTAGTGAGGTTTTTATTTATTTTTTAAGCACAGGCTGGGAGCTGGAGGTTAACATGAGCACAGGGAAAACTGATGGCTGGCAATGCACGTCATCTGTGCCGTTACACAAATCACGCCTGATTCAGAGTTATATAAAGCTTCTTATATAGTAAACAATCTTGTTAATAAAAGCATAAGTGCAAGGTCCAATGTAATCCAGCAAGTGTGACTAACTGGATTTATAGACTCGCTCAGCATTCAGTGCAGAGGCAGAGATCCCCCCAATCTCACAGGAACTGATTGTCGTGCAGATCCTCAGCATTGATTGCTGCCCTCCAAAGAAGGGGAATGTCATAGAAATAGGCTGGCAGGATTTTTATATCATTTTCTCCTTTGAGTAAAGCAATGCTTATTGGGTGGCTGTAACCCCTTGGGTGCTGTTGCATCACCACAGTTTTTTTAGTTGTGCCATTTCTTGCAGCTGAAAGCCAGCACTGGCGGATGGTGTTCTTCTCTGGAGAGAGGAGTGGGCTTCTGGTGGGCAGTGCTGTCGGGAGGGAGGCTGTGAGAACAGAGGTATTTATAGAATATTACTGCGATGGTGCTTGCAGATAACTTGGGATATTAAGGAGAAATAGTAGCATTTGCTTTCCTAGCTATGCAAGCTACTGGCGATGCCCAGCTTCCCTGACTCCTCCTGACCAACTAAGGCACGGTGCCACCTCTCACTTGTAAACCTCCCCCGATTCTGTAGCCCTCAGAGGCAGCCCACAGTGGGGCTCATCCCTCCCAGAGCCATGCCAGGGACAGAGTGGAAGCAATCAGTGGTGTGAGACCTGCCAGACCTTGTCCTTCTCTCAAGGAGAACATGATGTTATGAGAACGCACTTTTCATTACATATTCCAGGAGCAATTGTTCACTGGTTGCTCTAACACTCAGCACCAATGCTTTCCCAGCCCTGCTTGGGTTTGGGTGCCATGGGCAGAACCAGGGTCGCTCCCCTTTCCCCTCCCCACCCATGTGAGCACCACGGGCTCGGTGCCATATGTCCTCTCTCCCACAGCCTCCTCAAAGCCCCAAGGGAGAGCCATCTGTGAGAGGTGACATTTCCACACTCGGTACAGCAACATATGCTTTGCATGAATAAACTCAGACTGCTCCAAGGCAGGCAACAGGTAGGGGCCATATTGCTGGGCTGCTCTGGAGGTGTGCTGAGAGCCTCTTGGTTGGCCCTCATGGAGAACGGGGCCAGAAATGCTGCTGAACACCAACACAAGTGATATTTCCAGCTCACTCCTGGCTGCTCATGCTCAAAACCATCCACTCACTGTGGCTGCCCAAGCAGGACGAGCTCTGCTGCTTCATTTGCTATTTCATTCTTTTTCACACTCTCTTTAATGCTTCCACTGCTTGAGAACTGCAGCGTCCCCCACAGAGGCCCTCCACACACTCCTCATTGTGTAAGCAAGGGAGGGACTTCATAAAACCTCCTTCATTCTGAAGCTTATTTAATTAAAAGCTAGTTTTATGGTGCATGCACTAATTATAACTTTTTAGCCTGAGGGATTGAGGTGAACTTGTTGCTCATCATTCTGTAATTCAAACCTACTGCAATCAGTTTGGATAATCAGACATTTTCTAAATAGTTCCTCTATATATCCAGCAATGCTATAATAGGATGGAAAGCACCACAATAGCAGCAGGGTGGTAAAGTCCTCAGCTGCAGAAAATGAGAGCAAACCCAGATGCAGCAGACACATGCAGTAATGAAGGAAAAGAGCTACTTACCCTTACAAGGCCTCAGCTATGCAGGGATCTCCAGCAAGAGATACCTTCACCTCCACTGCCAACCCTTAAATGAGGGCTGGGAAGGGGAGGATCCTGGCTTCACCCTTCATCACTCAGCAGCACTGCATGCACCTGAGCTCCTCTGGGCTGGCCCTGCCTTCTCACCAGGTGCTCCATCACTGCTCCAGGCTGTGACTTTGTATTGCCAATACAGATGCCCACATTGCCCCAGGTGTTGGAGAGCCAAGCATTCTGAGCCAAGATGCCAAGAGCAGAGGGAGAGAATGTAGGGAAGCCTGCAGTCACACAGCTGGGAGGAGGTGGCAGGGTCTCACTGGGGCATTGGAGTCCCAGCCCCACAGGCACAGGAGCACAGCAGTGCCTGGTGCAAACCTCAGCTTGCCCTGGGTATGGAAGTGGCACTCGGGGTCTCTGTGCTCATTATATTGGGGCAGAGTGGGGGAACCAAGGAGGAGAGAGAAAAACAAGTCTACATGCAGCGTAGAAAAGGGCAATGCTGAATTTATTCTGGAGAACAGAGCTGGGTCTCCTGAGTGCAAGCAGCTGCTGTTCTTCCCGAACACAGAGCAAAAGATTCAGGCAAACTCTCCGGGGAGTTTTTAATTTTCTATCTGCTGATTTCAGAGCTGTTTTCACCCAGAAGTGTGCATTGTGGCTCCGGGAGCTGCACACACACTGATGCATCCAAGGGCTCTGTGCCAGGCAGGAGCAGAGTGTGCACAGCTGCACCAGCACTGCCCCATCCCCAGATCATAGCATGGCTCATAGCCCCACTGTGCTCAAAGAGAGCCTCATGACTGCGAGATGCAGAAATGTTTTCCACCCCAAAGCAGCCCTGGGTCCCCAGCTCCACGTGCAGAAGTGGTGATTTCAGCACTGCTGTGCTCCTGGGGAGAACTCGCCCTGCCTTCTCACTCTTGGAGAAGTCACATCTGCAGAGTGCTGATGGGGATGGGCAGAATATACTGCCAGCCACAGGCATGTGGTTTCTGAGCACTGGGATTGTCACCGTGGTGACCCCACACGGGGCACTGCCCCGTCCCACAATGAGCACAGAGCTCTGTGTTCCCTGGGAGGGGATTTGTGCCCTCCTGAACTCTCATTCTGCGCTTCAAAGAGTACCTGCAATTAGCTGCCTGCTCTGCTTCCGCTGGGGAAGACGATATTTTTTCTTTGGTTCATTATAAATAAGCACCCAGGGAAATATTAAGTCAGGAATTAAATTTCAGCTACTTAAGCACTGACACAAGAGTACATCATCTGAGTATCTCAGTGTGAGAAATAAGACAACTAAAGCTTATGTAAATAGAGGAGCTTACACGTGGCTCTGGCTCCGCTCTGCTGAGTCCCTTCAGTGGGTGCTGTGGGGCTGCAGGACCCCCAATATGCCCTGGGGAGCTGGGGCTGTCTGCACGCCTCCATCCCCACAGCAGCTCCTTTGCTTGGCTCCCACCCGTGCTGCAGTCCTTGGGGTTATGGGATCCAGTCTTTGGGTGGCTGTGCCCGATGGAGGATGGACGAGGCCACAGCTCTGTGTGTTTGGTTATGCAGCTGTACCTGCTCAGTGATTTTTCTCTCTTATTCTACTGCAATAAGGTAAACTCATCCCGTGCTGCTCTGAGACAGCACACAGCCCCTAATGGGGCCACGGATTTCCTCCGGAGCACTCATCTCTGAGCATCCCTCCAGCAGCTGCCTCTGTTTTTGATGGCTGGGACGCGTTGTTATCGTGCACTGCTTGGTCATGTCAGGGACAGAAATAACTGCTGTCTTTCCAGGTGTGCAGATATCAGCCTTTGAAGAAAGCAGAGCGAGTTTGGGAGGGCACGGCCCCAATTCAGCTGGCTGCCATCAGCCCGT